TCCATTTCAGTCGGGATCGTTTGTCAGCTCGTTCCTTGAGCACTTCATGCTCGTCAAACAGAGCATATTGTCCGATCATCAAAGCTTGTCTCAGAGCATCGCCATCCATTGACTTGGTTAAACAATCAGCCAACATGGCCCTACTGTTGACCCACCTAAGACCACAGTTTTCACGAAGACGCTCTCGTATGAGCAAGCATTCCAAGGTGGTGCGGTATTCCGAGCACGAAGGTGTTGAGGTCTTGGTTGATAAGTCATACACTGACTTACAGTCGGTTGCCACTGTTGCATGAGGAGCCCGTCGTAAAATCACATCAGGCTGGGACCAGTCAATTCCAGGGTTCTTCATCCATTCCCAAAATACCCTCAACCAACTCAACCGGTCCAACGTGGACCCCAGTGCGACCGATTCTGCACTTAACGTGCTACGCACGACCCTCGGAATCTTCTTTGATGACCATGCCATTGGACAAATCACTGTTCGCTGGTTCTTTGCGAGATTGCCATCCGTGGTGAAAATTAAGGTGCCTTGTCTCGTTGGGTTGCCATTTCCAGATTCAAAAGAGGCATCTGAGAATGCACAGAAGGTCACCTTGGACTCGGCAATCGGAATTATCATCAGATTCACAGGTTTTGTTTTCGCTTCAAACAACACCCGATTGGCCAAAATCAAATGCTCTACACGACCACATGGAATGGCTGCCTGAAGTTCACCAACTTTCGCTGAAATGTCCGGCCTCGTGTGGACCGCTGCGTATTGGAGACTCCCGCAAATCTGACGAAGTGACTGAGTTTCAGTCGAAGACAGTGACTCTTTTGGCTGCTGTCGGCGCTTTCGAGGGATATCTATGGGAGATATTTTCTGAATATAAGAGTCTTGCCCCATCTCAATGGACCCATCATCCCATTGAAAATATTTCACCCCACAAAACTCAAACTCCCCTTCATTGTAGGCACCAAAATCATAAATCTTCCTAAGCCGTCCAATGACCTTCCCAAAATATTCATCACCTCCCCCTATCCCATCATCAACATGTAATCCTAGGCAGCCTCTTACCCTAGGTCCATTTGGGCCATGAGTGACCAAGCTAAACACGCATCCGTCAAAAGGTGATGCTATAAAGCCAAGACCTTCAAGAGTCTTTCGCAGTGTTCGATACCACAAAATTGGGGCATCAGCACGGCCATAGGCTCCTCCGAGAAGGCTGCATTGGTCATTTGGCCCCATACCAATGGCTTCTTTGAGCTCTTTTGGTGCATGAAGACCCAAGGCTCTTCCATCTCCCTGTCCTTTCAAAAAGGCAGTTGCAATGTCAAAATTTACTAAGCGCCATCCATTGCTGGCTACCTGTTGCAACACTAGCTGCTTGCCATCCTTGGACAAAGTGGGAGCATCAGCAGAGATGGAAGAAATTTGGGGATCCTCGAAACCCAAAACCACTAAGCGCGCTTTGGCGCGTCGTTCGCTTGTGCCAGGAGCTGGGGGCTTCCATGTCAGAATCCAGCGGCAACGCATTATCTGGTCATCCCTAAGTGTGCCTCTTGCAACTTTCTTCACAGTCTCATGTTTTACCCAGGCATCTATCTCTTTGTTCTTTGCCTGCTGGAACAGCTGGCGCTCCGCATCTCCCAAATCTTTCCACTGTACTTCAACCCTTTGTTTTCTAGCCCCAGTTGCAATTAATGACCATTCCAAGAGTTCGGGGGATTCACTTACCAAACATTCATCAACCATCTTAGGGGGACCATCTTCGAGGGATATTTCCCAAACACCTACTCCTTGTTGTGGTACTTCCCAATCATCCCCAAACAAAAGATCCCCGTCCTCTGGAACCGGTGTTTCAATTGGGGCATTAAAGTCCAGTCCTTCCTCTGGAGTTTCAGGGCTGTCATCCAAAAGAGATGGGCACGGCGAAACAGACGACGGAGCCGCAGACGGGAAAATCTCGCCCTCTGGCTGACTTCCATCAGCGGCACTGCCAGGAATCCCACTGATGGGGTTGGTCACGGAGGTTTCGTCCTCCTCTTCAGGAACACCCTCAAGTTGAACAAAGTTCTTACACGCAGGCTTGATTTGTTCGTCCATTATCCTCCCTGATACATCTCTCCGAAGTTCAAGGTGTTCTCGAAGAGAAGCAGGTCTGAGCTGTTGTGGACTTGCCCTCACTAAATACCCTCCATGACTTACCCAAACAATTTTCGGATATTCAGTGGCTATAATCTGACCGGGACCATGCCATCTTCCCCGTTCCCCTTTTTGGTTCCCCTTGAGTCTTCTCCAGTAAAGTACCCAATCACCAGCCCTATACTGGGTAATTTCCTTTCGGGTTCGACGGAGAATTGCTCGGCGAAGAGCGCTGTTATTATCAGCGGTCAGAAAAGCCTTTCGAGCGCATTCGCGCCGCGCCTTCGGAGGCTTTCACGAAAGAGGATTCCTTCAGTGGTTTCACTTTCTGCCAAACTATGTGTTGCAGCATCACTGTCTCCCACAAGTGAAGCAGGAATTGCACAAGACTTGCCCAACAACGCCTGTTCAGGGGAATAACCATTTACACTACTCAGTGAGTTTTTCGCTGCAAACACATGTCGAAGGCTTTTCCGAAATTGATCAAAGTTCGAAATTGGTTCATCCAGGTCCATGGCGGTCAACATTTGTTTGACCACCCGACCATGGGCTTCAGCACGGCCAATCTGCCAGTGACTCTCTGCAGCTGCAACAGACAGTCTGATCCCTTCCTTTTGGGCGAAATCATGCCACTGATCATTGACGTACTCACCGGCAGGGTCTAGATACAACACCTTACATGGCCCTGCCCAGTTCAGCCATGTGTTCTCGAAAACCTGAATCTGCTCCTCAGTTGTCCTACCACTAGGAACCCCAACATGGTAAAGTGTGGCTTCGTCAATGAAGTGCATGAAATGGAACTTCAGACCCTGTTGATTTGTCCAATAGGCTCCATCACATCCAACACAGTCATTAAAATCTTTTGGAACATGAAGGCTTGCCGGATGTGAAAGCTTTGGACCAGGCTGATTTTCTATACACGTATCACACTGATAGTCGCGAGCGGCTTTCACCACGGCTTCGTCAGCACCCTGTTCGATGAGGAGTTTTGCAAGCTTCCCCGGGTGTGGATGTCCCAAGTTGGCATGAAGTCTTCTCAGATCCGACTTCTGACCAGGCTCTAAGCTTTCAAAATCAGGGCCACTTTTGGGAACAATCCTTGGAGGCCAACCCTGCTCAGGACCCCCCCCACTTGCACGAACATCCAAACCCGGTTCGACTTCCATAGGTTCACTTTCTGGGTTTTCTGGGTTATTCCCCTCTTTACACTCCCCACTTCCCATATCTACCTTATCCCCAAACAGAGTTACAGACAATCTTGCGGATCCAGCACTTCGAGTTTGTTTGATTCGAGACAGTGCTGTCCAGTTTTCCGGTGGTCCTTTGTCGATCACCTCACCGGTAGCACGGTCGATGATGATGGTTTTCCGCCATGGCATTGGCTCACCATTTGACAGATTTCCGGGAACACGGAACCTCTCAGTTCCTCTGCACAGCATAACAAGCTTAAGTTGCAGCTCCGGCACCATCATTTGAAACTCCCCAAACAAATCCTCCCCAACACGGATCACAAAATTTCCAACCCTGGGGACCCTAGATGAACATTTGCGAATCATGGATTCCCAAGTTGGGGCCCGTCCATATGTCGGAGCTGCAACAGGGATATCCGATCCCCGAGGTGGCCCTTTAATTGAGTGTCGTTGCCGCTTTGGGCACGGAGCATCGTCCGGCGCAGTTCCTGGTCGATCATAATGTTCTTTTGCAACAAACACATCGGAAACACAAGGAGGTTCCTTGATTTGGCACTCCTCAAGAATCAGCCGTGCAATCCTAGACCCAAAAATTGAGGTGTAAGCTGCAGCATATGCTGATACATTTTGTCGTTGACCCTGATGGTTAAACGACCCTTGGATGGTTTCATGTTCATGATTCTTCCCACAAAATTGTTGATGAAGGTGATGGTACAAGTACCCATTGGTGGTTCGAAGACTTGTTCGTTTCCTAAGAAATTTTTCCATATGGGGTAGCTTGAGTTTCCCAACCTCACACATGTCAAATTTGGCTTCATATGTTCCAGACATCAGCTCCTTAAGTTCGGGTTGACCAAACATGCACGAGTCTGATGGTTGTTCCAGGTGCACATGTCTTCGATGGGAAACTTGATGGTTGTAGATGTCATTGCACAATTGAAGATGATGCTTGTTGTGTTTTCTCTGTTCCTGAATCCGGTCATACATGGAAAGACTTTGACTCATATTGAGATTGGAAAATTTTCCATACAACCGGCACTCTGGGGCCAACCATACGTGGCGAGGTTCATACATATATATCCATAACCAAAGTTTTTGGACTCCCTCGGAAGTATTCAGATCCCCATCAGATTTGGAAAAGCGCATGGCTCGTCCCCCAATCTTGTTAATCTGTGTGGTAATTTGGGAATTAGGTTCACAGTAAACTTCCAATAGGTCCAATGGCCGACTTTGGTGGGTATTTCTTCGATTCCCCTCTGTTTGATGTCTCCCCTTTTTCACATGACCAAGATCATTTTTGGAGGATAACAAAAGCAACCCGCTTTCTACCTCATTGATTTTCCGATTGATGGCCATGTGAAGCATCGCTTCGTGCTCAGGGGACAGAGAATCGATCGGACATTCACTTTCGATGTAGTTGGTTATCTTGTCAAGCTCAGCACTCAGATGTCCTCCTCTTCGGGGATCTGGACTTCTTTGGCAAGCTCCCGCTCCAGGATCGCAATCTGTGTGCGAATCTCCTGAACCCGATGATGGTTGGGTTCCACTGCCATGGCTGAGGCCTTTGGCTTGGAATTCACCCTCTTGGGAGCTCGGCTGTGCTCGTTCGTTGACTTCATCTCCTCTTCGATCTTGATCCACTCTCCAGCTTTGTCTTTCTCCTGTGTCACACCGATCGGGGTCTTGGGCTTGCTGATCGGCTTGGGCTCGGCATTGAAACTGCTGTTCGCCCCAGTCGATACCTGTGACAGGTGTTTGACCAAATCCACTTCGATCCCCTGCTCCTGCATCTTGTAGGCATACTCGTGGGTGGCCTGACTTCGGGCTCTGCAGTACATCTGAAAACTTCGAACCCAGGCGGATACCGCCTTCCGATTCCACATTTGTCGAACATAGCATAGATCGCTGTGTGCCTGTTCGAATGTCTTTCCCCCAAACTTTCCCGATGGCACTTTCAGCTGACCCCACTCTCGAAGAGTGGAGATCCCCGGTGGACGCTGAATTTCTGCCGGCGCCGACTCGGGATACTGCGCTGTGGTGCTGAGCTTCGGGTCGATCCTGAATGTCAGTTGCTGATCGTGAAGATCCTGACTCATGGCTGACTGCTTCGATTGGGTGCACTTCCTGAAAACTGGGAAACTTGGGCAAAAGTTGGGCTACCCTTTGAGACATCGGTTGAAGGCCATCCCCGACATTCTTCAAAGAGTTGTCAAAATTTCTCTGTACACTTTCACTCTGATTCACGGCCATCTGAATTTTTCCATGGGTTTTGTCTCCTACTTCATCATGTTGATTTTCACGCATGTACTCATGACTCCAACCCTCATGTTGATCCATCACATGTATTTCATGATCAGTTTCTTGATGTGAACCACATGATAAGTTTAGAATTTGGGTAAAATCAACACTCATGAGATTTTTGCGGCATGTTCTAAGAGGAATGACATCGTCGGAACCTTTGAACCAGACCTGCCTTGCCTCAACATCTACGACTGCCTTAAGGGCACGAAGAACTGAGTTTGACAGCAAAAACGGTGTCTGACCAGGAACCACTTCCACTCGGATCCATCCTCCTGTTTTCCGTGGAAAGAACACGGCGTGTGAACTCTGAAGCACGCCGGAGTTACCAAATCGAAAATTCACATTTGAGGGGGCAATCTTGAGGGACCCCTCCAGACCACAAGAACTAACCAGCTTGCTCAATCGTTCAGATCCAATAACAGCCCTACTAGCCCCTGTGTCAAGTATGGCCTCATGGCATGCTTCTTCAACTTGGAAAACAGTTGCTGGATGGGCCTCCCTTGTGGAAGGCTCAGAAATCCTTTCAGGACTTCTCGGGCGAGTGTCCGGCAATGTCTCAGGCTTGACGCTCTCGTGCATCACTGGGGCCACCGTTTCAATTCCATGCTTCCTACAGCATTCGATCAGCCGGGCATGGAGCGTATGTTGAACCATGTTTGACATGTGCCCCTCAATACAAACAAAACAATCCGAACAGTCCCCAACCGCATGACATGAGTTTTGACTTTCATTCCATGCCTGGCTCCAAGAGACTGCATCTTCTGGGAGTTCGGATACCACCTCGAAGATGTCGGCGGCGACGTCATCGGTGCCAAGGTGGATCTCCTCAGTGATGTTGGTGGCTTCATTCTTTTTGACATCCGGACGGTTTGGGCACTCCCTCTTCCAGTGCCCGGGCTGTCCATAGGCCCTGCATGTGGAGTTGGCGATCCGGTCCGCCTAAGAACGACGTCGACCTGGAGTCCACGACGATCCATTGGCTGGTGTCCATGACGGTTTTCCCTTCTTGCCTCCTTTCCCCTTGGTCTTTCCCTTCACTGGCCAGAAACCCCTGGCATGGGCTCGCTCTCTCACCCTAGCACGGGCCTCCTGATAGCTCAAGAAGCACTGTGACAAGCCTGGGTGATCCTGGATGGCGTCCACAATCTGATCCTCAAAGTCAGAGATGAACACCGCATCTTCGTCACCTTGGTCGGCAAGAAGCTGAAAGATCTGCTCCTCGTCGATCTCCATGGACTCGGTCTCCTGCATGAAGGCCGCTTGATGATTGTCCTCAGGTTCATCAAGCTGGTAGGCCTCATATGTTTTCTTGCCATGATTGGCTCGATTCCCCTGAAGGTCCTGGAAGAATCTTGACCCAAGGAGCCTCAGGCTCTTCCGTGCTTGCTCATAGGTCAGTTGGCCCTGGTTGTCTACAATGATCCGTTTTCGGTCATCAGAGCTCAGGTTCGATTGTCTGACGAGCACATATGCCCGTACGTCGGCCAGTGTGATCTTCTTCGACAGCAAGTCTTCGAACACCGTGTCGTGCCTGGCCAAGTAGCTGTCGTTTGTTTCATCAGATCGTTGGCTCACTGAGTACAATGCTCGCTCAAACAAGTCATAGGTGTCCTCAGGATCTGTGCGACCCCAGGCACCCCCCAAGGTCTCAATGAGGATCTTCACCCCATCCGCTGATCTCAGTTTCTGTGCATCAAGTCTTGCCAGTTTTTGGAATGCGGCACCCTCCACCAGCAAGGCCGCCCGTGGCGCCAAATGCTCTATGTATTCAGTCGGCCACACCTGATGCAGGAACTGCAACTTCTGGGTGTACACCCTCAAGTCCGTCGTTGACGGATCAAAACGAGGTATCTGTCCCCATGGAAGGGAACTCGGAGGAATCCCCGACGAAGGTGGATCTGCTGCTTCCGCCCTTCGTTCCGAGGACATGGCTCAGACTTTGCGCCCGAGAAAACTGTTGTTCCAGCCTATGGAACTTTGTTTGACTGTCCTAGACCCCGTCTAAGATGCCCCAAAATTAAGTTAGTTACTCGGATGCCCCCGGCGGCAGCCCAGCGCTCCGCTACCAATGTGAATTTACTATCTCCCTGAGATATTATTTCGGGGATTCCTATCCACCAACCCTGAGATGCAAAACCCTGTTTTGCTGGCCTTGTTGAATCCTCCCGCCCGCCCAGCTGCATTGTCGGCGAAGCGGACGGCACGTGTTGGAAGCACCCAATGGAACCATGTGGATCATGGTATGTCCATGTGATAGACATGAGTTGATGATACAAATGGATGGTACATTCACAATATATATATATAGATATATAGATATATATATATATATAGATATATATATATAGATATAGGTATATATATATATATAGATATATATAGATATATAGATATATATATATATAGATATATAGATATATATATATAGATATATATACATATATATATATATGTATATACTGTATATATATATATGTTTTTTTGAGTTCACCTACACATCAAAATATTGTGTTTTTTGAGTTACGCACACAAACACATCAAGTTTCCCCCTGCAAAAAATGCTGATCCCTCCAATTTACCATTCTGCCTGAATAGCAATAACAATAATTCATTAACCTGGAGAAAATGCGGCGCGCTTCGCCCAATTCCCATCACCTATGGTAATATCCATACGAATCAGTACAGAACAAAAAAGGAAAACTTTACCCCAAATAAACTCGACCAAAATAGATCAACATAAGTCAAATGTCAATTTTTTGGCTGAACTTCTGGTTTCACCATCTGTTTCTAGCTAAATCCAGTGGTGTTTCCTGGTGAAATTCACCAATTTCCTGGCGATTTATCTGGTGAAACTCCTCACTTTTCAGGGAATGCCACAAAACTGCAGGCTTTTTACCTTCAATCACTGGGAGAATGGTAGATATATCTGGCTGTTACGCCAATCCAAAATACAAATAGGACTGTTAAGACAAAATATAAGATTGTGCCACATATTGCCACATGTTTAATGCGATTCTGGCAAAAAATGCTACTAAGACGAAGACAATGATAACCCTGATCCCGAAAAAACAATCCTGGGATTCAAAGCCACGGTTAGATTTTTTTTTTTCGCGGTAGCCAGCTGGTACCTTGATGTTTATCTCCACATCTCGCCATTTTTGATGAAAATGACTGGAAACTTGCCATGACTGGAAACATCCCCCCAGTAATTTAATGAGATGTGGGGCCCCGAAGATAGCAAAGTGTTTTATGACCCCAAGTGACGTGTGGTAGATATTTGTAGAGTTCTGTAGTTCATGAAGTGTTTCACTAAACCAACTTAACATAACTTAACTATCTTGGACACCCCATATGGCCCAGGTCCATAAATATGGCGGTGTCTGATCCATCGCCCAGCGGCATGAAGAAGACCTGCGTGTGAATTGCAACAGCTCATCGGAGGCACGTGCACCTGGCGGCAGCAAAGATATGCCGGAGATGCCATGATCAACTGGTTGGTGGTTTCAACCTACCCCTCTGAAAAATGATGGACTTCGTCAGTTGGGATTATGAAATTCCCAATATGTATATTATATATATATGGAAAAACAAATGTTCCAAACCACCAACCAGATTATGAAGAAATGGAAGCCACAACCGAGAAGTAGACATGATTAGGTTAACCGCCAAATGCGATTTGAAATGATGTACCCTAGACCGAAAATGATGGTAAGCTGGACATGAATAGAATTTCCACGAGAAATGATAGTTTGTCAAAAAGTTAAGGTCTTAAGCTAGGCTGCAGAATTACAGGGATGTTGACACCAGAATTGATTGGTATATCACACTCACAACGCAGGCATAGTATAGATGGTGATGGCACTTCAGTCGCTTCACCAGCTTCCATCCCACTGCTAGCCGGAAGTGTTTCACTCTGCGGTTAGATGGGAAGATGATGATTCCCAATGTGGTTGCCCTCTGGTAATCAACGATGGCAATTTTCTAAAAATCACAGATTGGTGACCAATCACCATCAAGGCTGAGAGGGGGCATCAATCTGCTGAACGGTCTCCGGCTGCTGAGGGTCCTAAGAAACCGTATTTTCGTTCAATACATGTGCTTCTTGGCTGGATGAAATAAATACGCATATGTTTTCTCATTTTGGGCCCTGAAACCAACATAATATATTGTCAGTAGTGTCTTCGCAATATATAGTTTTCTCCGTGACCTTCCCAGATGTTCACCTTTTTTGTTTTGCCATCGATGTAATTTCACGTGCGAACTTTTCATCTGTGGATAAAAACTACCACCCCGGCATTGCTTCAAACACCCACAGGGTCTTAGACATGGAGATTTGGAGATCCCAAAGTGATTTTGTCAACCTGACTTGTAAACGAAGTGTAAACTGCTGAAAAATCATGACAATGATGGTTATATCATGATGGTTATGATGGTTAATCATCATTATATAACGGGTGCAGAATTGTTTTTGTTTTTTTTTTACAGTTTTGGATTTTTTTTGGGTTTCGTGCCTCTTCAATTTTCCATTGTTTTCTTCAATTTTTCCATGGTTTTCTTCAATTTTTCCATGGTTTTCTTCAATTGTGCCATGGTTTTCTTCAATTTTTCCATAGTTTTCTTCAATTGTTCCATGGTTTTCTTCAATTTTCCATGGTTTTCTTCAATTTTCCATGGTTTTCTGCAAGTTTTCTATGGTTTTATTCAATCAATCAATCAATCAATCAATCAATATATATATATGATTATATATGTATGTATGTGTGTATGTATGTATGTAGGTAGGTATGTATGTATGCATGTATGTATGTATATGCAGGGTGTGGTTTAGGGTTTAGGGATACAACATGTAGGTATAATTACATGATTATTTGTAGTTTATTTTGGGATCAAAGTTGTGTAAACAACAACCACAAATATGTCATATATATATAATTATATATATACATATATATATACCTTTAGATACATAATCATATAAATAAATATATATATATATACAATGGTATGTATATACATATTAATATGTATGTATATATATATACATTTATATAAGTACATTGATATATATATATATAAATATAAGTGTATATATCAATGCAAATATATACATATATATATGTCTATATATATATGTATAGATATATATATATATATATTAACATAAATATTAATATAGTCGAATCAAGCTAGTGTATTGAAAAGTGTGCAAGTTTGAATTTAAATAATTAAAAAAAGCGGGAGGGGGGGGATTGGGGGGGAGGGCTGAAGAGGGGCCCTAGCGTCTACTTCAAGATCAGCTAAGGCGTCTTCCCCAATGACAGCACTCTTTTACTCTCAGCGTGTTGCCGGTCAGTGCTCTGTCTACAGGGTTACTCTATATACCTCTTGAGCCTTGAAGGGCGCATATAAATGTGCTCAATACTCATGCATGTACCTCTGTAGGTATTAGGTCGAAACAAAAACAAGGGCGCAGCGCCTCCCCCCAAAAAGCAGATTGGAAACACCTATTTTACATGCAAGGTGCTGGGTTGAATGTGATACTCAAGGTGTATAGACTACACGACATGCACCCTGGAAACATGTGGAATACAGTATATATACTTACAGATACATACTTATATATATATACACATATACATTTATATGTATATACATATGAATGTAAATATATATAAGTACAGAAATAAATATATTAATATGTAAATATAAATATATAAATATAAATATATAAATATGAATATATAAATATAAATATATCATTATAAATTATATGTAAATATAAATATATCAATATAATATATATAAGTGTATATATACATGCATAAAAAGAAATATATGTATATTTACATATATATATATAGTTACATATATATATATATATGTAAATATATATATATATGTATTTGAATTTGAACATAAATAGTAATAATATGTAAATAGAAAACATATAAGTAGAAAATATAAATAATTTAAATATATCTAGATATAAATATATAAGTGTGTATATAAATGCATAAATATATATATATACATATACATATATATTTATATATATGTGTATATGTAAATATAAATATATATAGAGAGATTTTAATTTAAACAAAAATATTAATATAGTCCATGTAAACTAGTGCATTGAAAAATGTGCAAGTTTGACATACTAAAAATACCACCAAAAGCCATGGAAAGCAAGCCAAACGCCAAAAGCAAACAAGCAAAGAGCAAAAAAGCAAAAAAGGCAAAAATAACAAAAAGCAAAAAAAACAAAAAGCAAACAAGCACAAAAGCAAAAACGCAAAAACGCAACAAAATAAAAAAAATAAAAAAAAAAACGCAAAAAAGCAAAAAAGCAAAAAAAGCAAACAAGCAAAAAAAAAGCACAAAAGCATAAAAGGAAAAAAAAAGGAGAAAGCAAGATAAAACAAGAACCCCCCAAAAAAATCCAAAAACGTAAACAAAAAAACAAAAAATAGGCCTCCTTATATAACCATCATTGAATCATCATTAAAGCATCATTTTAAACCATCATTATGATGGTTAATCTGATTTGTGAACTGAAAATGCGATTGGTTCCTTTGAAAAGCACTTCGTCTCTCCAGTCGCGCTCCCGTGATTCACAGCGATTGATTTGGGCGGCGTGATCTTCACAAGGCGCAACGCACAAGGGGCGGAGCGCAGCGGAGCGCCGCAAGAAATCCTACGTTTTTGAGTTCCAATGTGTTCCAATGCTTTTTTGATATACCACATTTTCACCTTGAGATTGGATACTGCTGGTGAAATACCAGCAGAATAGCCATGGAATACCTCCATCAGCTGCTGGAAAACATTCCATCTCCCTGTAGGTCAACTGGGGGCCCCAAGAACTGAAAGCAAAATTAAGGCTATTGAGTTCCTAACTCCGCCTAGGATTCAGAGTTCCTAAGTCTCTA